TTTACATCACAGAAACCTGACATTTTAACAGGGGTGTGTAGACTTTTTATATCCACTGTATAATTTTTATCATAGGTTTATTTTAAATGTTAAAGACAGAATATCAACCATAAATTTTCTATAGGATTAAGGTCTGGAGACTGGATAGGCCAGTCCATGATCTTAATGTGCTTCTCCTTGAGCCACTCCTTTGTTGCCTTGGCAGTATGTTTTGGGTCATTGTCATGCTGGAAGACCCATCCACGACCCATCTTCAGTGTTCTGGCTGAGGGAAGAAGGTTCTTATCCAAGATTTTACAATACATGGCCGTCCATTGGCCCCTCAATGCGGTAAAGTTGGCTTGCACCTTTAGCAGAGAAACAGCACCCAAAGCATAATGTTTCCATCTCCATGCTTGACTGTAGGGATGGCGTTCTTAGGGTCATAGTCAGCAATTTTCTTCCTCCAAACACAGGGAGTCGAGTTAATGCCAAAGCGCTCAATTTACATCTCATCTGACCACAGCATTTTCTCCCAATCCTTCTCTGAATCATTTAGATGGTCACTAGCAAACTTCATACAGTCCTGTACATGTGCCTTCTTGAAGAGGGGGACCTTGCGGGCACTTCAGGATTTCAATCCATGGTGGCTTATTGTGTTATTAATGGTTTGTTTGCTGACTGTGGTCCCAACTGCCTTGAAATCATTCTCAAGCTCCTCCCGTGTAGTTCTGCACTGATCCCTCACTTTTCTCATGATCATCCTTACCGCATGAGGCGAAATCTTGCATGCAGCTTCAGACCGAGGACGATTGATGGTTATTTTGTATTTCTTCCATTTTCGAATAATCACTCCAACAGTTGTTTCCTTCTCACCAAGCTTCTTGCTGATGGTCTTGTAGCCCATCCAGCCTTGTGCAGGTTTATAATCTTGTCCTTGACGTCCTTTGACAGCTCTTTGGTCTTGCGTATGATGGTGGCCAAGAAAGAGATTCTGTGGACAGGTATCTTTTATACACATAACGTGTTGTCATTAGGAGCACCTACTTAAATTGACAGGACTAATCTGTGTACCATATGAGCTCATAGCCAGCCTGTGGGAGCCAGAATTATTGTTGGTTGGTAGGTGATCAAATACTTATTTTACTCACCTAACTGCAGCTCAATTTATAACATTCGTATCATTTATTTTTTCTGGATTTTTGGTTGATATTCTGTCACTATCATTTAAAATACACCTATAATAAAAATGATAGAACCTTCGTTTCTTTGTAAGTGTGGCAAACTTACAAAATCTGCAGGGGATCAAATAATTATTTTCCCCATTGTATTTTCTAAAGGACAGCATTTTTCTCTTTAACCACTTTAGTACCGCGCTATAGCCAAAAGACAGCTACAGCGCTGCTCTCTTGTTCTGAGAGGGTGTCTATAGACGTCTTCCCAACCCCTGGGGCATGCTCTGTGACCGCTGTGTCCTTTGAACACAGCTTATTACAGATCATGGTAAAGGGCCAATCACAGCAGCTCTTTACCATGTGATCAGCTGTGTCCAATCACAGCTGGTCACATGCACCCTGAATATCAGTGCAGCCTTCAGTGCCCACTAGTGCCACCTATCAGTGCAGCCTCATCAGTGCAGCCTCATCACCGCACATAAATGAAGAAGAAAAATTACTTATTTGCAAAATTTTATAGCAGAAACTAAGAAAAAAATTTATTTAAAAATGTTCAGTCTCTTTTCATTTGTTTAGCAAAAAATAATAAAAAACAGTGATGATTAAATACCACCAAAAGAAATCTCTGTCTCCAAAAAATGATAAAAATGTCATATGGGTACAGTTTGCATGAACGTGCAATTGCCATTCAAAGTGCGATAGCACTGAAAGCTGAAAATTGTCATGGGCAAGAAGGGGGTGAAATTGCCCAGTATTGAAGTGGTTAATGTGCCTTTCTGTGCATGAATGTAGCCATTCAGGCCTAACCTGAGTTATTTTATATTTGTTGCCCATTGGAATACACTGGCAAATGTCATTAAATAAAATGTTCCTAAAACACTCCCATTTTTCCTCTGTGTTTTTTTGCTTCTAGAATATCTTCACATTTATTGCCATCAAGTATGAAGCACAGTTTGGTAAAGTTGGCTCTCTTGAAATTTAATGTTCGTGTCCTATCCTCATTTCTGCATTTCTTATGATTCACAGTGAATGTAATTGCCCTGTGATCAGTTTCCAAAGTTATCCCTTACTTCTACTTCCACCGTAGCTCTAGGTTGTTTGTAATTAGTAGATCTAACAGAGCCTTGTTTCTATTTGGTGAATATCTAGCTTGTGTTAGAGACTGCACTGAACTGACTGGATTGGTCACTAGTCCTGGGTGGGTATTTGTGTGGGAAAAAAGGAAGGAATCCCTTTTGGTGGATAGTGCCCAATGATGGATGGTGGTGATGGGCCCTCTTGGTGATTGGGCTGCTACCTTTTCTGTGTAACCTTACTGTTGTTTCAGCATGTAACCTTGGATAAAAAAGAAGGAGCGCCAGGTGTCCAGAGAATTGCAACTTCTAAAGTATTGTTCATAGACGTTTATTAAAATGTAGCAACATGTACATCAAGCCAAAGTGTTTAGTTGCCTAAAGCCAGCAACCTGCCATTCTTGTTTCTGAATACTTGTATCTAACAAAACCATTCATTGGAATTGTTCCCATCCATTAGAATACACCAACATCCCTGATGAAGGGCGAGTCATTTCCCCTAAATGTGTTGGTTTGATATACATGTTGCTGCTTTTTATAAATGTCTTTAGAAGTTGCAATTCTCTGGACACCGAGCGCTCCTTCCTATTTTCTCGGTGGGACATCCACCAACTGATACATAAAATTGTCCCCCAAGACATTTAGGAAGTGCCAAGCCTTAGAGGAGGGAACAGTTTCACCTGCCCAGTCAATATCTGGAAAAGTGAAGTCCCCCATGATTATAACATTTCCCTTCCTCGCCACCATTTGTAACTGTGAAAGGAGATTGGTCTTCTCCTTATCCTTCAGGGTAGAGGACCTTTAACATACCTCCGCTATGAATTTCCCTTTTGTTTTGCTTTGTAGTTCCATCCACAAGTATTCCACCCCCTCCATTGCCCCATTAGCAATTTTGTCCCTCATGTTCACTGGCAAATTACTCTTGACGTGCATGAACACCCCTCACCTTCTTCGACCTACCCTGTCTTTTTGATACAGGGTACAGGAAGTACCCCTGGACAGTCCCAAGCCAGTCATGTGAGCTTTCAAACCAGGTTTCTGTTACTCCCACAAAGTTGAAATCCTCCTCATGCATCAGTAGTTCCAGTTCCTCCATTTTCTTCACCAAACTTCTAGCTTTAGTAAACAAATGCTAGAAGTCTGATGAACAAAATGGAGCTAATCACTTTCCCTCATAAGCGGGTTCCCTTCCCTATCACACATTCAGCAGAAGCAGAACAAAATGATTTGGGGTTCCTAATTTAAAAGGTTTTCTCACCTAAGATGGCCACTAAAGGGTACCAGAGGTTTCAGCGTCCAATCAAACTGCCGCACTCTCTGAGACACTCATGGAGTCTATGAAGGAACAATTTCCCATAACAAACTCCATTCCACTCCTGTATAACGACACAGTGCCACCTACTAAATGGAGGAACACCTCCATCTGCCTAAAAGTTGTGTACATCAAGAATTAGACAATGTGGTGGTGATATCTCAATTTCCACCTGTCCAATCAGAGAATGCTTTGTATTCAGAACACCCTGTGGTTACTATGAATCAGGGCAGCCCCTCTAGGCAGGACCTGAAAGAATACTACAGATTCACTGCTTCCACAGCAATCCTAAAGGTATGGAATATGTACACTTACATTGGTCCAAGCTAGACGAAAGTATCTACACTGTTAAATTCCATACCTTCGGCTTTAAAGCAGAGTTCCACTCAAAGGCGGAAGCTCCGCTTATTTGCCTCCTCCCCCCCTCCACTGCCATATTTGGCACCTTTTGGGGGAGAGTGGGGAGCGCGTACCTGGTTTTGACAAGTACCCGCTCCCACTTCTGGCTCAGTTCGCCACGGCGAAGTGAGCCGGAAGTTCGGCCCCCTCCTTGCTCTCGCAGTCTCCTGGGAACTTTCACAGATCCCAGGAGACTGCCAGACCAATCAGGAGGCGCGGTGCAACTCATGCATGCGCAGTGGGCACCCGGCTGTGAAGCTGCAAGCTGTCACAGCCTGTTGCCCACAGTAGAGATGCCGGCGCCATGGAGGACAGAAGGGACGGCGCGGGTGAGTACATCACTGGACCCCGGGACAGGTGTGTGTTTATTAGAAGTCAGCAGCTACAGTTTTTGTAGCTACTGACTTTTAATAAACACAAAAACAGCTGGAACTTTGCTTTAAACACTTCATCCAAGCCTATAATCAGCTGCCATCCTGCGTGGACACCATATGATATACTCCAAGGAATCACATCTCGCATGCGCCCCATGGATTGCACTGCGGCACAATCTGTCACCAGCTGTGTGCAACACAGCGGATGACAGATCAGTGTACCATGGTTCTATTTAGAGAATAATTTTTGTGTATTCATTCTTCATGATCTGTTCACTTGATGGGGTAAGAAGAGTGTGTCCTTTCCCTGTATAGTATACTTTGTGCTATAAAGGGTCCCTCTTCCTCTCATCTGTGTTGAAGTCAATAGGACCAGGATAGCAGTCAACTAAAGAGCTTTTTTGGAAAGAGATGTCAAAAACATGATTCACCTCTCTCCATTCTATGCTGTACCCCACCCTCCCTGTAGCCATCACATGACTCAGAGTCAGCTGGCCTGACGCCACTTCCTGCCACACGATTGACGTTGGGGGGGTCTGTCTTGTCTTCCCGGTCAGCGTCATTTCCGGTGTCTTCTGTGGGCTCATTTCTTTTGGCAGGAGTGTGATCGGGTGGCTCTGCTGGTGATATCTGTCCAGAACATCGATCAGCCCTCGCCTCCTGCCCGTGTGTGCTGCTCTCTGACACCATGTCTGAGTTCGATGTGTTCGGGAACGGAGTGTCCACCGAGGAGGACCCTGCCGCCGCCTTCCTGGCCCAGCAGGAGAGTGAGATCGCCGGCATCGAGAATGACGACGGCTTCAGTATTCTGGACAGCGGAGATGTGCCGATTTCCCTGCACGACGGGGCTGTGGGTGAGTGTGGGGGATGACAGGCGGGCTCACTGGCGACACCCTTCTTATGGTAGACAGGACCATAGTCTGACATTGGGGTCACTGGGGTGGTCAGGTGATGCTAACCCCTCACGTGACCTGACTGTCATTCCACATGACATGACCTGTCATTAGAATCATCAGTTTTGTATGAATAGTTTTGTTAAAGTGGCATTAAACTCAGAAATGTCATTCTCTATGAAAGTAGGTGGTGGACCTTTCATCGGGAGCGTGCAGTTCATGTTTTCTACATTTTGTAAATAGCTGGTTGATTCCGCCATTTTTCTTCGATGTCTAATTGGGTGGCAACCTTTATAGCAGACAAGTTCTCCAGCTGAGCGTTGCCACCGTCAGTGTGCATGCTTCTCAGATATTCTGCCACCCCACAAGTGGTGTATTTAGGTTTTGTGCTGCCCTAGGCAACACAAAAATTGGTGCCCCCCTGCAGAAAGAGCCTGATATTGACCAAGAGCACCCCTGCCCTCCACCACAGCCTTCCACTATGTCTCATACACCAGCCACCAACCCCCATGGCGAGAGAGAGACACCTTCACAGCTCCAGACATCCCCAGGAACGAGAGTCGGGGTGTGCATACACCGTCATGAAACCCACAGCATCTCTCGGAACCCACCAGGTCCCCATGCAACATGTCCCTTCTTCCGTCCCTTTTTCCAAGGGGCAGTTTTGCCCTAGGCAAATGCCTTGTTTGCCTTGTGATAAATATACCCCTGCACCCCACATGACTCTTCAATAGCTGTAGGGGCAGCTAGAGCACTTAGATTTACATGTTCCCCACCCACCTGCTGCCTTACATGATCATTTGTGTCATCTAGCTGGGATTACTTGCTGCTCCTCCAGTTTTCGCAGTAAGGTGGGGAGAGATCTACAGGTGTCACATGACTGTGGTATATGGACTGTCAAAGTTATTTGTGGCATTTATTTTGCAAGTTAAGCAGGCCATACATGGGTCGCAATTCTGAATGATTCTTCGATCAAAAACATAGTTCGTTCTGTAATCCGATGGTGCCACCAATGATTTAGAAAAACTGACATTTTTCACGAATTTTCCAGCATGCCCGATAAACGAAATGGGGAGCAACCATGAAATTCGGCTGGTGCCATTGCCACACTAACGGAGCGAAAATCGGCTGATTATTTTTAGGTACGATTTTCGAATGAAAAGTCATTCGAAAATCGACCAATGTATGGCCAGCCTAAAATCTGTTTCGTTTCATTGTGGGAAATGAGTAAGATGTCCATGAAGCTGGTGCTTTGGGTTTAATAGCACATTAAGGCAACATCATCATTTAGGGATTTGCCCGATACTGATTACGTGTGAGGACCTCCGCAGCAGTTCCTGGCAACTAGCTATGAGAGGCAGTTCTATTGAAAGCAATGGAAGGCTGTTGGTTCTCGCAGTTAATTGTGGCCACGCTCATGTAGCCACCACCTGCGAGTGATCGGCCCTGGACTTGGACTTCTTGACAGCTGATGAGGCTGGATGGAGCACCAAGTGCTGCTAATGTTTGGGGCATTGTCTGCCCAGGGACTAAATTCTGCATTCCAGGTATTTGCCCCTGGTGCATACTGCCCTAAATGTAAGTGCCGCTAGGTGCGCCATCCAGCTGCAGATGCTGGTAGCTTCTCATAAAATTGGCTAAAAAGTAAGTGAAACACATTTGTGGTGCAAGGACTTGTTCACTCTGTCTCCATTGAGCTGTGTTAGGGCTCATTCACATGGACACTTAACCCTGTATGGAGTGATTATGCACAGAACATCTGGCTGGGCAAAGATGGCCCTTCTCACGGGTGTATGGATAGGTCCATCCATGCGAATGAGGTGCATCCTTAGAGACGCACTTGTTCTAGGTATCATGTCATGTGATTTATGCCGCAGGAAAGTGTCATTCAGTCTGATTTCTGATCCTTCAGTAGATCACAATCACCCTATGACCCTGAAGCAGAGGCTTCTGTAGAGGAGGTAAGTATTGCAGGACTTCTGTCTTTTCCTGTGGTAGACAAATTGACAGGTTCACTTAAAAGGAGGCACCATAAGTAGCCTGTATTCATCACTCCCTCCCCCCCCAAGAACCTTGAAATACCTGGTACTTCTGGGTATAAGAAAACCCTTGACGCTCACCTCTGCCTTTCATAAGTCAAAGCTTGGGGCTTGAGTGGTCAATCAGCTTACTTCAGCTTGTTCTATTAAGCTTTGACAATAAAGCCTGGAAGCTGATTGACTTCTCTGCAGAGCTGCACCAGATTCTGCATCATGCAGTTTTAGCAAATAACCCCCCATATTTGAGCTGGTTTGTATTGCATGTCTTCTGGATGTCCTATTGTGGTGTGTTTGAACTGCAACCGCAGCTTTTCTTGTAAAATTCTATGTTCTATTCCAGGGGTTTACAAATTTTATAAGCAAAGGGCCAGTTTACTGTCCTTCAGGCTTTAAGGGTCTGGACTGTGGCCAGTGGGAGAAGAAAATGCCCTGACATTGGTGCCTCATCGTTGGTTTTATTTGGAGGAATAATATCCTATCATAGATCTCATTTAGAAGACTACAGCCCCATTGAGGGTGTCAGTAAGGGAAATGGTGCTTTATCTTTAGTGTCAGTTGGAATAGTGCCACAAGGGCCAGATAAAGGCAAGCAAACGGACACTTCCGGCCCCTGGGCAGCAGTTTGGAGACCACTGTTCTATTCCATTTTAACTGTATGTGTTTGAATGGAAACTGCAGCACACATAGATTTTGCACTTTGACCCTGATATGAACTCCAAAGGCTAGCCATACTTGTATAGATTTTTCTTGTTTAGCTCTTGGACTGAACAAGAGAAATCTAATAGATTCATTCGTCCACACTAAACAGCGTGGATGGAGAATTTGAACCTGCTGGCTGTTGTATTCTCGCAGTCCACATCCATCAGAATGCACTAACAGTGATTGCATCTGATAATTTTCTCACTGGTAACAAACATTATTTGAAAAATTGACTTTTGTGATACTGATAGGCCAACTCTGCCCCAGCTGCATCACCAACCTGGTCTCAAAATATCAACCAAACCTCTTTGTTCCTCCCAAGGCCTTCTGCTCTCTAGTTCCCGTGTCCCCTCCTCCCATGCTCACCTCCAGGACTTCTCCTGAGCTTCTCCCATGCTATGGAACTCCCCACCCTAATCTGTCTGACTGTCTCCTAATCTATCCACCTTTAGACAATCCCTGAAAACCTTTCTCTTTAAATCCTGCTTCTACCTAGTAAACCGCCATTTATTTCCTCCATCAGCTCATCCCCCCACAGCTTTGACCTTTTGTATCACTCAAACCCTTCCTCTTCGATTGTAAACTCTAATGAGCAGGGCCCTCTGTTTCCTCTTGTACCAAATTGTATTGTAACTGTAATGTCTACCTTCATTTTGTAAAGCACTGCGAAAAGTGTTGGCGCTATATAAATCCTGTATAATAATAATTTAATGAAAGCAGAAATCGGACAAAATGTGAGCCTGTAGCATGCACAAGGAGCCAATGAGCATTGAGCATATGACATGCATAAGAAAGACTTCAATATTCTTACATTGACATTAGGTCCTCTTTAGTAAGGTTTCATTATAAATCTAAATTGCCCTGCTATTGGACATTACAGAGGTATCCTTGTTTAAACTAGAGTTCGGCTAACCCGCCTTAGGCCTTATCACACCCAGGCATTTGGTGTGCACAACATGATAACCCTCGTCCTTTTAATATGTCATTTATTCAAAGGATTCATCAGTTTGGTTTTCAGCTAGGTTAATCAAGCTATTTATTAATGACCAGTTTCATAGCACAAAGCATAATGCAACTTATCGCAGTAAAACTAACCCTTCTTCGCCCCAAATTTACATGTTTTAGGTTCTAAGTACTACCAAAAAAAGCATTTTGACCACCCTTCATACATTAAGGATGCGTTTTTTTAACTAGTGTTTTAAAGTGGAACTGGTATACCACTTGCATATTTGGAGATGCAAGTCAACTCTAAATAAGAAAGCAAAATTGAGGCAGGAAAAGAATTTGAGATATACACCAATCAGCCGTAACATAATGACTACTGGCAGGTAATGTAAATAATATTGATTATCTGGTTACAATGGCGTAGCGCATCTTTAAATAAATAAATACAAATAAGTGTATAAAAATAAACACACAGGATACCCTGAGGACGTAACGCGTAGGTACGCCGATACGCAGCTTCCGGTACGCGGTGACGCACTTCCAGTGTTGGATGCCATCTTGGCACACCTAGGAAGTCCCACACGCATGCAGTACACCCATACATCAGGAGAGGACGGGGGACTGCATTAAATGTGAGTGTATTGATGCATAATAAAGGAGTTTTGCCTACTAAATACTACACTATGGAGGATCTTTTTTTTTGCTCACTGCGGTGGTGAGATACATATTCCGCAGAATATCCTATCTAAGGGACCTGGAGATTGTTTTGGAGAGAAACTGCAGGTGGATTGATATCAGCCAGGATTGTAAAGGATCCAGCGTGATCCTGAAGGCTTTCTGGCCCTTTGGGGTCGCCAAAAGGAGGTGAGGAGGCATTGTAGCCACAGTGGAAGAAGTGTGCTGACACTTTCACAGAACTTTATACACCATTTGCACGTTGCATGTTTATATGAAGCACCTATCAATTTTATTATGGACTATTAGAGCATCCAGTGTGTTTGTATGTGATTTGGAGTGGCACTATCATGTGTTTGTTTTCATCCCCGTATTTATAGGGGTCTTTGTTATTATTCTTTTGTAGATATCATTTGTATAGGTCATCCAAGTGACCGTGGCACAATAATTATTTGTCAATGTATTTTGTGTTCGTTTATATTGTTGTGGTATCACTTTATTAGTCACTTAGGTGACTGAGACACATTGTTTTTTTGGCATTGTATTGTGTGTTTATTTTTATACACTTATTTGTATTTATTATTTATTTAAAGAAGCGCTACACTATTTTTAT